CAATGAAATTACCAGAAACAGGTGCCAAAAGAGAAAGGATTTTCTTTTTTTTCATTTTCTAATATCATTGCTTTTTTTCACTCCCATTTAAGGAAGGTCAAAAGCATGGCATGGTAAGGGGCTGATACTCCATTTTCTTAGCCATCAACACTTGCCACATTTCCTGGGATAACTTCTCACACAAAGATGCGCCCCCCTCATACACTTCAGAGATCAGCCTATGCTCCCTCGTAGCAATGCAATGGCAGAGCTCCAGACTTTAAATGGTTTAGCCCATCATGTGAAAATCACCCGTGCCATGACATGCTCACTCTGTCCATAACTGCAGAACTTAGCAGTGCATATGCCACTGCAAATATGTCAGGAATGAGAAGATTCCCATCAAGAAAATTCCTGCTGGGCAGTCAGGGAGCCCCACCTCAGCAGTCTCACATGGCACTACTGCATGGCAGGTGCCCAAGACCTGACCAGTCTGATGAATAGTGAAGCCATGGAGCATTTAGCTGAAGGACCAGTTACATTCTCATGAGTTGTCTTGAAGAATACCATTGCATTGTATCATGGGAAGTTCATAACATTATTGTTCATAACATTATCTCCAGTCAAGGAGAGCTTGCATTACAGTCATTCTGTTTTCTTTACTTAACCAAAGCATCGTACAAGGAATTCTGAGAGATTTTCTTCAAAAAAAAATTTGTTTTAAATAATGATCTTTCGTTAATATGTACCTGCATGTTAAGGAGGAATTTCACATCTGCACAAAACTCTCATGTACAAAATATCACTTTCAGGCAGCCACAGGTCTGACAGCCCAGGTCAGGGATCACCCAGGCCTTTCAGTGTCCTTCCACCACCATCCACCACCCTCACCCACATCTCCTCCCTTTAATCACCTCATGCCACATCTGTATAGTCACACTTTTGCAAAAAACAAAGCCAGGGAGTACAGGGAAAGCTCAGACAAAGCCCAGTGTATTTTGTCTTCTGGGGAAATCACTGGCGAGACAGTTTGAGATGATTGGCAAAAATCAAACGGGGGATTATTGTCAGCAATGAGCAGTCCAGGGTCAGCCAAGGTATTTTAATGTCATGATTCACTCCTGCCTCACCCTGCAGGTATTCACCCGTTTCATTGCCACTGAAAAAGTTGTGGTTTTCAACGTTCTGAAGACTACAGAGAGCACGCTGTTGAAAATGGTACTTACGTCATGAAGAGGGTAGGCAGCCTCATAAATATTGTTTGCAATCAGAGAGTTAATACCTACGGAAGAAAGGGAGATGAAAATAGTAACTCTGGGGCAGGCATTTCTCAACTTAACCCTTGTTTTTTGATAACTATTAAACTCTCACATGCCCCCCAGCTGAGAATCAGTGCATCCTCCTCTATATCAGCCAGGCTAGAACTTTTTGTCAAGCTCTGGTTCTTAGTACAAGAACAATATTTTTTCATTCCCTAAATACAAAATGATGTTTTCATATCAAATATGCTGTCTCAAAGTTCACATTCCTCCTATCTTCAAAGATTCCAGTCATTCCAGTCCAATAACCTTCCACCACCGTCAGGTACGAATCTCTGTGCTCCATGACCACATAGGAATGAATGGCTGTATGGATCATTTTAATCATGATCTATAAAAGTATGTGTGAGAGCATTCGACTGCACTTTGAGCTCCTTCCTGCTGTTTCACAAGGCAGTGTTGGCTGTGACTGATCTGTCATCTGGACCATAATATCCCTGAGGTGGGCAGAAAGCAATAGGGCAGTGGTTCTCAAAATGTGGTCTGGGGAACCCTGGGAGTCTTCACGAGGCTTTCGGGGGCCCCTGGAGGCAAAACTATTTTTCTAATAGCACTAAGACATTATTTTCTTTCTCACTCTTCTCTCACAAGTGCATAGTGGGGTGTTGTGGCATGTGCTGCCATCATCCCCTATGGCTAATGGCATGTGTTTGTGTATTCTTGTACTTTCACAATTTCTCAGCCTTAACTTCTCATGCAGTAAACATTGGTCGACAAAGCCATGCAAACACCCTTTGGGTGTTCCCAATAATTTTTAAAAGTGTGAAGTCACCCTGAGACCAAAAAGTTTGAAAACTATACAAGAGATTTATGTTTTAATTCCAACAGTGTCTCACACCACTTGCACGTAGCAGACCCTACTAAACAAATGTGAAATGAACAAATGGCTCTGTCCCTCCAACTCCATTATACTCACAACAGAGAACCTTCTGCGCAGCATAAAGTCATCGTTATTTACTTGTTTCATTCTTGGTTTTTTTCAGAGACTATAACGTGGTCTGTGTGTTCTGTCTGAGTCGGGATGGTCTGTCCTGGGTCGCTGGCTTCCAGACGGGAGGGATTATGTCTCACCAACTCGTAGTACCAAGGATCCCGCCATACGAGGATCCACATTTAATCATGGAGGGGGAGGAGAGGGGGAGTTTCTGGTACACAATGATTTCCCTTGTCTCGCACTTACTTTCTGCCCTGAACCATTCTTTCCAAAGAGACTGTAGACTGTAGTGAGATGAGGAGATAATTGGTTTTGGAGGGAAAGATGTATGATGTCCAAATGCTAAGAAATCTGCATTTGCATGGCTCTGAATAAACGCCGAGGTTGGATAACAAATCTAGACAACATTTACTCATTAAAATTCATGGCTTTCCACCTCCCGCTCCTACCCAATGCCCCACCCACATGCTTAGAGACCGCAGAGGATCTCAGACAATCCTCTCCCCTCCATCAGCCTCCTCTTCCTCAAACCTCGCCCCCATTTGCCACAGGTCCAGGACATTGGATGGCACAAAGACTATTCTCCAGGCCCCATGTGGGAGCGGAGGCCCACGGGAGGCTGCCAGGGGCGCCCGGTAGAAGCGGCCGCTCTTCCAATGAGTTGAGAGCTGAGTGTTTTGGTACTGCTGCGTCACCAAAGGGCCAGTCCTTTCCTGATTTTAAGTTTCCTCCTTGGCATGCACATAAAACATGAGAAATAACTTTGCGGGGTGAGAGGAGCAGAGGGTGGGGAGAGGGAGTGCAGATGGGGGAAGGGTGCCCTGGAGGTTTGCTGAACTGCAGATTTGTCTGACTCACAAGACTACAATTTCACTCCGAGCATCATTAATCAGTTCAAGAGCCATAACCACAGCAACATGAAGCCACCCTACCATAATCAAAGGGAGGAGTCCCAAGCCGGGAGGGGAGTTTGTGGGAGTTTGTAGTTAAAAAATACAAAGTGCTGTAGGCCTGGATAGAGGCTGAAGCATCACAGGCGGGTAAGGCCCCAGCTAGACCACACCCCAGAACCTACCCAACCCAATCCCTACAGTCACACCCCATGGTTGCCGTGGCAGCTGTATATACCCTGAAGACAGTCCCAAAACGCCAAGGAAAAGTCCAGCAGGTGTTTCACCTACTTAGCTCTTCTGCTAATTCTCAGCTTGACTTTGCATGGTAGCCGAGTGTCTGGAAGCATTAAGCCATTAGACCGATAACCTGAACTCCTGGTCCCAGCTGCCAGATCCTCAGAAATGTCTCGAATTATTGGGACACTAAAGCTATGCGCCCTAATCCCCATCTCAAATAAAGCTTCCTGTGCACGGTGCAGCTGGAAGTGGGCAGCTCGCTTCACTTCCAGGACAAGGTTTGCTCATTGTTTTGTGTTCCCCAGAGGCCTGACCTGGGTCAGAGAGCACTCCTCTCACCTGTGTGTCTCACAGCACTTAGCTCATGGCTGGAAACACGGAAGAGATGGCAGCCCTAACAGTCACCGGCCCTGTGGCTGCAGTTATCTCAGTACTCCTCTTGTTCATCGCCTTCCTCACTGCTTCGTTGAGCATTCTATGCTCATGAAGAAACTTTTAAACTCCAGCTGATTGTTCTGTCTCCTAAGACAGAGAGTCAAGGTAAAAGGTCCTTTGCTTTGGAGCAGACTCCAGTTGTAAAACCAGAGTTGTCCTAACTCAGATAACCACAGCCCCCAAAATGCTGCAACTGGAAGTTTCTCTGCTCCCTCTAGCTGTGTACTCCCTACTTTTCAGGTGGTATCCTATGGGTGATCCCAATCAGTGGCTGCTAGGGGAAAGGAGAAGAAAGTACATTTGAGGAGGAGGAATGGGGCGGGAGAGGCATGTTGAAATTTAAGCATTCATCCACAACTTTACCCAACAACAGGGATTCCTTTGGCCTCCCGGTTCACCCACAGACTTCAGAAACCAAGATTCTACCCCCAAACAAGCATGGAAATCAGTTTAAAACAAGAAGAAAATAATCAAACGTTTTTTAAAAAGAGTCACTGCTTTGAAAATTGAAATTCTGATTTTTTTCTTTCTTTTCAGCAAAAATGGGCTAATTGGTTCCATCATGCGCCATCCATCTGGCCATAATGGCAAAGTTTTCTTCTTCAGGATTGCATCTATATTCTTTCCTCTCAGCTCTAGACCCAGGGAGAGACAGAGAGACCCAATCTTTTGTCCTATTACTTTCAGGATGGGGGACAGTGAGAAGGAGAAAGCGCTGAGGACATTTTCCCTTCCCTGTCTTCCTTAAGAGGAACAATGTCTCACCTCAAAGTACAGCCCCTGAGGAGCTCCTCACTGATCCTCAAAGTCGACGTGCCCATGTCCCCTTCAAATCAGCAGGTACTTCATGCCTAGTGTTTAGAACTAAAAACTTCCAAAGGAAAAGGCTCATGTTTCCTCCCTGCCCAGCATGGACCACACGTCTGTGCAGCCTGACACAACCAGGCCTAGCACCACAGTCCCACATCCACAGGGGCAGGGCCAAGAAACATGACTGGGGTGGGCTTAGGACTCGGCACCGGTACCTGAAAACACACATTCGTCATACAAAGCTGAGACCTAGCACTGAGCTTCATAGACATATCTGATTTCCTGGACACAAAGGAACAACCAAAGCGCAGAAGTTTATGGTCTACCTCCCAAAGAGAGTCTCATTAAATCTACAAGTGCTGCTCGGTGACAGGGACTGCAGTGCTATTCCCTCCAGGCCAAACTCAAAGGAAACTTTTATCCACTGGGACAGGTACTTAGAGGAATGGGTGCCATACTCCTGAAAACCCATTTGGTTTTAATTCTCCCAAGAACAGGGCCCAGCCCGCCTGGCATTGTGCTTTCATCCCTGCACTCCAGCCGGATGTAAATCTAAACCAGAGCTCCCAGACGGTGCATTTAACAGAGACTATATTTAACCATCACCAAATTGTCTTGACGTGTGCTTAATTACTTAAATGCCTTTAATCCCAAGCCTTTTCTTCTAAGAAAATGTAAACCAGTTCAGCTGGATGAATGATAAACCAGATGTTTACAACACACAACATGGTCTGGCTTTGGTCAAAATAATTAAGACATTGTCTCCTGAGTGGGGAGGGGAGGTGCCCGAAGCATACATTTGTTTAAAGGCTCTGACACCAAAATGTCCATGAAAATATAGTTCCGTCAACCTGTAATTTTCTGTCCATGAAAAAGCAACAGTAACTTTCATATGAAGGAGCAAGAAAGGTGTTTACCCTCCTCTGATACGGTCAGTGAGGCTTGAGTTTCCTTCCATGCAAACTGCACGAGAAAGTTATTCAATAGTAAAGTCAACTCCCAGGGCTCTGATAACTGACCGTAGGAAAGATGACATTGATTGAGGAGGCATCATGATCACTCACACACTTCCACCACCATGCAGTACCCAGACTCACAAATATTTTCAGTCTCTGATGTGGTGGGCATTAATCCATAATCTCCCACTTCCAGGAGTAAGTAAGAGGGAAAGGTCGAGTTGTTCCTCTTGAGGTTATGAAAGAATTCTAAAAAGTTTGATCATTAGTCCACCCACACTTTTTTAAGGTCAGCTCCTCCTGCTTTGTCCTTTTATACTAATTTTAAACATCACCCCCCATAAGAGAGAAAGAGAAGGGAAGGAAAGGGTAAGGGAGGGGAAGGGGAGGGGAGGCCAGGGAAGGGCAGGGAAAATGGTGCAGGATAGGGCAGGGGAGTGGAGGGGAGGCAGAGCAGAGCAGGAGAGGGAAGGGAAGGGGAGGGAAGGGGAGGGAAGAAAAGGGAAGAAAAAGGAAGGAAAGGGGGAAGTGGAAGGGGAAGAGAGGGGAAAGGAGGGAAGGAGAAGGGAGGGAAGCACAGGGCAGGGGAAAGAAAGGAGAGGAAGGAAGGAAGGGAGGAAGGAAAAAAGGAAGGGAGAAAGGAGGAAGGAACGAGGAAGGGAGAGAAAGAAGAAAGGAAGGAAGGAAAGAGAAAGGAA